GTAATTTCAACGTATTACGCTGTATTTTCATGATTTTCATTGTACTCATTGTCTTTTTTTTTTCATTGTAATTCAATGTATCTCGCTGTGTTCCATCTATTTTATTGTATTCTCTGTCTTTTTTTTCATTGTATTTCAATGTATCCCATTGTATTTTATGTATTTCATCGTATTCACTGTCTCGCTATATGCCATGAATGTATTTATAAGTCCTTTTTAATTGATATAATTTGTGTTTTCAGATGTATTATATAATTTCTCTGAAGATTGCTATATTTTTGGGGTATTTTTTGGTTGAGAATCTTTTTTATAACTGAAAATACAAATTTTGTGTGTCATAATTGAGTTTGTTGAGTTATATTAGGAGTCTATTATGTTAATTGATTCACTTTCCGTTTTAAAAACAGTGTAATCCCCTATTTCACGCCGTGAATACAGTCGAATACAGTCGAATACAATAATCTGTCCAGCTGTAATCCCATGTTCCACTCCATGAATACAGTCGAACACAACAACTGATTAGCTGGACTTCCCTGATTCACGCCTATTTTTGCTACTGTATTCATGAATACAATAGCTTAAATACATCAAATACATCTTATAACCACATAAAAGGTATCTATAATCCGTAATATAGCAAAGGGTATCTATATGGCTAATTACTACTAAAAGATAGTGCTTTATGAAAATTTCTCTTTTCTTTTTCCCGACTAAAACTTATATGTTGCTTTTCTATATTTAGGCCCATTAAATTATTATTATTATTATTATTATTATTATTATTATTATTATTATTATTATTATTATTTATTTTTGTATTTTCTGTTGTTGAATTTTATAATTTTTAGTGCAGTTATATAATTTTATATATTTATTTCTTTTATCTATTTTTTAACTTTTAGTCTCTTAAAATTATATATAAAAAAATTGTTGGCTTATTTATGCCCATGCCGTGGGACTAACGCTGCTTTCCATGATAAGTCTACTTCAGGCAGTGATAGTGTAGACAATTAAAATTTTATTGAATTTAAATTCATATAAATTTGGATTCGATCTCAATTATATATATTTTGGTCCAACTAAATATATGTGCTAATATAATTGGATTAATTACTTAAGTCCAATAAATATTGATTGGGCTAACCTATTTAGTTGGGCTATAAATGATGAGCCCACTTCATTAGACCCAATATGTCATATACCTAGAGGCCCAGTTTGGTGCCACATGTCGAATGACGTGCCACGCCAAATCAAACATAAGAGCCATAGGATCATGCCACATGTCAAAATGACAAGGCATACCAAGTCAAATTAAAAGGCCAATGAAATCGCGCCAACATGTGCAAGTGACATATTCTGGCCAATCAATTGCGGCCTTGTCATGCTTCAATCTGATTGGTCGGAAAGAGTTTGTTCTCATCACAACTCTTTACTCCCATAACTATAAATAGGGGTCTTCATAACTTAGAAAGGGGACCAGAAGTTATAACAAGAATAAAAGAAAGCTCGTGGATCAAATGATGCAGATTTCTCTAAAGCTACAAGTATTCAAGTGTTCTAAGGAATAAAAGATCAAGACAAAGATTCAAGAACAAGCTGCAAGCCCTTGGATTAATATACGTCAAGATCAATATCAGACCTTAAGCACTTGGATTAAAGCAAAATAAAATTTAAGATTAAGCTCGAAGGCTCTTTTATTTACTATTAAAAAGAAGAATCAACGCATTTATAGAGATTGTAACACTCATAGTGTTTGAAATAAAATACTACGATAGTTATAATATTTTTCGGTCCTGATTTTATTTTTTCGACGCAATTTATTGTCTACAGATAGTATCAAGTGGTATTTGAAAATACGTTCCAGATTTCAAAAACATATAGATGTAGTATTTTTCTGTAGTTATAATTAAGAGATTTTGGTGTATATTCTTCTAATTTGCATGCTTGACCAGAAATTTGGTGTTAGTTCGAGTACAAGTTTCCCCTTCACAAACATAATTCCTATACCTTTTTTTTGGTCAAATAATTAATTCCTATACCTTGCAAGTTTTATTCTAAGTATTATTACATATTCATACTTTTTTGTCTTTTTAACTTCTAGTTTTTCTTATTTGCTTATGTAAGATTTCAAATTCTAAGCTTCAGGTTTTCATTCTCTTCTTCTACTTTTTTTACTCTTAATTATATAAAAGAAAAATTTGTTTTTTCTTTTGTCCGATCTGTTTTTGTCTTATAGGGATGGATGTAGACAAAGGAAATGGTGTTCTTTGTATTGACTTTCTTAGTAATATCTCATTTCCCAAGTGGCAGAAACATGACAAATTTTGAAAAGAAGCCTGCCTCTGAAAGAAGTGAAAGTCCCATAAATGTTGCCTGTTAGTTCAACAACGACAGTCTCTTTGAATGATGAATGAATGAATATATGTACTGAATCTGGAGATATATAAATATAATACATAGTATAGGAAGCTTCCTATTGCAATTCAAGAAGAAGATGGTCCCAATTAGTGGCCATTTCTAACTTTACAGCAAATGATTTTGGACTGTGAAAATTACTTTTGAAATTGACAACAGGTAGCCCACCAAGCTCCCAACATAGGTAGTTGGATATGCAGGCCATATTGAACCAAACCCAAAACATGTCGAATTTTGGCTAATTGCTACTATGTGTTTCGCATTTATGACTTGGTCAAGCCGTCAAGATTTCGGCAAAGTTCAAAATTCTAGCCATAGATTTTGGTAAACTTTTTGTGAAAATATTGTTTGTTTATGATTAATTTTTGAAAAAATTTTGAACTTTTATTTCAAGTTAAGTTTTCTGGTGAAAATTTTTCTTCCACTCACAAAACTTCAATTTTTTCTTAAATAAAATGCATGTCCAAACGCAACTTCAACTTTCAAAAGTTAGTTTGCAATACAACTTTAAAAACTCTTCTTTTTTTTTTTTTAAGCTTTAAAGAAGTATATATCCCAACGCTAGCTACATAATTTCATCATTTCGTGGGGAAAGTCCAAATGCCTACCTAATGTCAAAAGGGTGGCTAGTTGAACAATTTTATTTGAAAATTGTGCTGTATAAATATTAAATATCACTTTTTATACATACTTTAAGAACTTAAGTTATATGTATTGACAGTGCATAATTTTCTACATCATGGTAAAATTGACCAGCAAAAATAGATAACTCTTCTAAAATAGTAATGGTCTCCAAACGAATGAAAAAGAATCTGTCTATGCAGTACATCCTTGCTTTTAGATTTCCTCATAATCAGTAGTAGTAGTTTCTTTACAGGATAAGTGTCACCAACCATATAAAAGACATCTGCAGACAGTTGAAGATCCATATATTCAAGCAAGTGGCGGAGTCAGGATTTTCACTAAGTGAATTCAAAAAATAAAAAAAGGTAAAAATTAAAAGAGACTATGGCCAATTGGAATTATATTAGCAACCTCACAAAGGTTTTGAAGCCACTGAGCTATGCTTTTAGGTTGTGTCAAGAAGATCCAAACAAAATATACAGAGGCACAAAACTAAGTTTACCTTATATGTACAGTGTAATTTTCCGGCAAAGGGAATTCGGGTGAACCCCTTTAGTCCCCCTAAATCTGCCCCTGATTCAAGCCCTACTCTATTATGAAAACCAGATATATTACTGGATTCTGCATTGTACTAATGCCCTCCTCCACAGCCAGCCTCCACTTCTCTTGCTCAAGATAGTACCAAAAAGCCTATGTCTTTCAATGCCTGTGCCCCAAAAGAGGGCTAGGTTCAAGGGTACGCACCTAGTAGCTGCGAGCCTAAGATCAAAGGCAGTTCCAAAAAGGAGTTCCCTATTTCCAGCTTGATAAAGTAAAGTCTCAGTGCCAGTTGTAAGGTTAGGAAAGTTGGCATGATAGACCAACTCCCTCCACGTTAGGCCAAAGTGAAGATTAAATCGCATAGTGCTGCTTCAATTATAGGATATAGACTTGTAACTTACTGCAATTTCACTAACAATTGCATTACCCTTGACATCTTAATCTACGTTTGTTGTTTCGACGGTTCTATGCTTACGATCAGTCTCGCCCTGAGAAGGAAAAATGGACGATTGGTATTATGGTCTCTGTCACTATGGTCAAGTTTCTGCTTATGGTCTACTGTCGAAAGTTCAAAAACGAAATCGTAAGAGCCTGTGCTCAAGATCATTTCTTTGATGTCATCACCAACTCAGTTGGATTAGTGACGGCTGTCTTAGCAGTCCGATTCTACTGGTGGATTGATCCTACGGGAGCTATAATTGTGAGTTCACAATCACAACTCAAACACTTTTAATTAGAAAAGTTCAAACGATTTACACTGCTGGTAATGTTATAAATAGTCTAATATATTTTGTAATTTCAGATAGCTACATACACAATTAGCACGTGGGCGAAGACAGTGGCCGAAAATGTTTGGTCACTCATTGGAAGAACAGCTCCACCAGACTTTCTTACGAAATTAACCTATCTTATAGAATCATCACGAAGAGACCAAGCACACTGATACTGTTAGAGCATATACTTTTGGTGCGCATTACTTTGTGGAGGTTGATATAGTGTTGCCAGAGGACATGCTGTTGAACCAGGCACATAATATTGGTGAAACACTGCAAGAAAAATTGGAACAACTCCCTCATGTTGAGCGAGCTTTTGTTCATATAGACTTCGAGTTCACTCACAGGCCAGAACACAAAACGATGGTATAATGACATAGTGGTTGCAGCAAGTACACACAGAGGCAGATCCAGAATTTAAACTCTATCTGTTCAACCTTTAAGATTTTTAGCGTTGAATCATCATATTTTTAAAGTTATGGGTTCATATCTACTATTTGTTGCAATTTTAATAAATTTTTACACATAATTTTGTATTTTACGTCGAAAGTACTGGGTTCACATGAATCCACCGGCCTGGTGGTGGATAGAGTTCAAAAACTACTGTTTCATGTGAACTTAATACTTGTGACATGAAGTAAAAATATATAGTCAGAAACCTCAAAAATTTATTATGTTCTGAATGCATAACATTTAAAATAACAATGAGTTTAATGCTAAGAAATTTAAAAGGGTTGAACCCATTAATTTTACATCCTGGATCCGCCTCGGTCCACTGCCCGACTATCCTTGTCAGCCAGCCACTACACAGCTGCCACATCTCGTTATCACTGCACAACAATCACTACACAACTACTGCCACCGTTCTCTTCCACCAACTACGACCAACACAACCAAAACGTCACAACCATCACCACGGACCACCACTACTGACTCTGGAAAGCTCAAAAAGAATGAACTCTAGCTGGTGGATGAGCTGGTAACGTCGGTGGCTGGAGAGGAAGTCGTAGATCGCTAAGAGTAAAACTGTAACGAGGACGCAATAGTAGAGGGTGTAGGGTCAGCACTACTGGAAGAGGGAGTGTTGGAGCTTGCAGATACTGAAATGTTGGTTAGCATAGTTGAAATGGTGGGTGATGTGGTAGGTATTGGAGCAAAAATATGGCTATATCTCAACGACACAGAATCCAACTTCCAACGTAGAAAGAATAGGAAAAGACAAGCACCAAAAACAAGCCAAGTATATCCACTGACCTTAAGGATATTCACAGCCCAATTTAAGCAAGCATTCACAAGCAAGAAATTGAAACTTCCAAGATCAGTTGAAGGTTGAACCATTGCAAGACTCCCAAGCCAAGCTGCAGCAATACAGAAGAAAGCAACCATTGACACCAGTGAAGTCGCCCTGAAAATGTACTGAAAGAGAATACTGCATACCATTCCTACTGCAAATTCAATAATTTTCCTCTTCTGGTAAACATAGTTTAAAAAAGGCGACGAACCCCACCTGCCAAATCGATCCTTAAACGCTATATAGGTAAGGAAAAAGCTTACGGGCACGACTAAGTAGGACAAATAAATGAATACACTCCACAGAAAACTTGGCAGTGCAAGTTCAGCCAAAACCACACTTAACAAACCCCAACAGTAGCTATGATTCAAATACATCCGAAATGAAGGACACATTGGCCTTCTGTAAGCAAAACGATAGTAAAGATATCCAAACAGGAGAAAAGATAAGATGATCCAGAAGAAAGGAAGAAAAGATGGCAATGGAATTATCAAGATTTGTGCACAAACAATGGAGATTAAGGTCTTTCCTACTTGAAAAAGTCAGTATTGTATTGGGGCATGTGGCTGCTGATTTTCTAAAGCTGGTCGAAAAAGAAAAGCATAGGTGGATGAAGTGAAAACAGAGAGAGAGACACAATGGTTTATGATGATTGCGACGGAAAGGGGCAATGGATGATCTGAAATATCTGAGTCAGTTGAATTCAATAAAGCTACTGCTCATATGCAACAACAAATAGAGCTAATAAAGTAAGAGATCGAGAAGAACAAGATAGATGGGAGCTCCATGTAGTTGAAGAGAACTATCCTTACCAAATTTAATGAAATTCCTGAAAAGTTAGTGACATAGTTATGAAACTTGATGAGAACTGGAAAATTCTGGGAAAGTTATTGTGGACTTCTACTGACTTTCCTCAACAGCAAAGTTCGTTTATGGATATACGAAGTCACACCATTCAATTTGACTTGCTCTTCTTTTGCTTTCCATCTCAATATTAAAAGTTGAGAATATTAGAAAGATTTGGATCAAGTTGGCAGATTGAGTTATAATCCATTGTTTAGCCCATATTGATCAAACCCATCTTGACCCAAATAAACTTGGCATCTTTACATAAATAGCCGCGATATTAATTGTTTACTTTTTCTAGCCATATACATAGATTATACATATAATACATAAATTATGCATATATCATACCTCAACCGGCTATTTTTAGTTTAAGTGGTTGGGTAGACAGCTATTTGCATTAATTCTTCGAAGAAGGAACTTTGGGCAGTGTTGGGCATTAGCCCATTTATTTACTCAGCCAATCTTGACCCGCCCAACTTCAGCCCAAGCAGCCCATTTGCCCCTCCTAATTCTGTCACAGGTAGCTCACTACACCACTTCAGAGGACAGTGAACTGTTAACACAGAAACTTCCCAGACAAGAAACCGATGTCTTATATTATTAAGGTCAAGGTTTAGCTCTATAATAAAAACATGAGCATTGGCCTAAATAAATTCGCAGTAAAGTCGTGATCTTATATATGAAACGTAATTTATTTGGAAGAAGGGGAAAGGGAAAGGAACAAAAAAAGGAAAGAGGAAAAAGGAAAATTCGTGGCTGCTGCGAATTGAAAGATCCGAATAAAAGGAACACACGATGATCAATAGCTGGTTTGGCAGAAAAATCCTTTGCAAAACGCTTTGCGCCAAGGGTATAACCTAAAAATCAATGAATCAAGTTGCAAACCTTGAAAATTCGGATTCAAATCTCGACAAACACAAAAATACCAGTGATTTCTTCTTTATCTGCCTAAGCATTGGTGTGAGATTTACCTGATGTCTACGCTAATGGAGGTAGCAAATACTCACTTGAATAATCGATATGCTCGCAAACTGGCCCAAACACCACTGTCTCTTAGCACCTGCTTTATGATGAAAGTTGATCATCTGGCTTTACTATGTGGTCCAATATCATTGGCAAACTGGAACTAGTGGTGTGATAACTGATAAAACGGAGCAAGCATATAATAGTCAAACTCTTAAGTAAGCCAACCAGGTTGTCGGTGAGCTAAAGCAAATGGAAGAGAAATATTTTACATCCTTCTATCAGGAAATGCGAAAATTTCAGAATGATTCAACATGACCCTGAAGAAAATGCCTACCACATATATGTTTTGTGCAATTCAGTTCAAGGCAGAATGTCCAGGAACACCAAAAAGTCATACTCATTTTTAGGAAAATTGCAGCACCTACAAAACCAGAGTAGGCACAGAAGTACAAAAATGAAGCATTTATGTAGATTTTAGGAGCTTGAATCTACTAAACAAGGAGATCCCTCCATATGCCTTTTGATATTTGAAATTGGACATGTATAGCAAAATTTTTGTTACTTTTATTCCTCATCCAGCAGTAGAGAAGTACAGGATAGAAGCGATGACAACTCTTCTTCTGTTGCCAATCCAGAACCTTGCCATCGTATTCTACCAAATTTGTCAAGCAAAAACGTGTACCTGTACATTTGATATAGAACGGAGAACACTTAGAATTCATTTCTTCTGCTTAATCAGTAAGGAAACTGAGAGGTAATGTTAACATTTCATACCCAGTCAGAAGGTTCAATATTTTAAGTTCTTTCCGAAAGTAGTAATGGTCTCCAAATGAATAAACAATTTGTCTATGCAGTGCATCCTTGCTTTCGTCAGGGTTAGATTTCCTCATAGTTCGAAGTAGTAGTTTCTTTACAGGACTGAGTGTCAACAACCATGAATCTATAAAGGAGATCTGCAGACAATTGAGGATTCAAATTATCAACCTCTACTACCATTAAGAAAATGAGAAATACAGGAATCGTTGCATTTGACTTATGTTAGCAAAAAATGTCTAGCATACAATTACATGTGTATAGTCTTTAACAGACCGACACTAATAGAATTCATTCCCAACCAACACTTCTTTCATTCAAGAAGTGTGAATATCCAACGGTTTGTTACAGAAATATTAAAACCTTATACCATCCAAGAAACCTCTTCCTTCAGTAATAGAATATCTGTCTAATACTTACTCTTGAAACTTGCCTCTCTAGATTCCAGTTATTCTTTATCAATTCATATTCACAATTTATACCTTAGTTCCAAAACATTGAAGGCATAACAGTCAGAAACATGTTTCTGCATTTAAAATCACTATACTTCACGACAGTACCATAATTTTGAGAATGTCACTATCACATGACAGAATCATAGTCTCGAGCGTGAAATAAAGAGTCCTTTAGCTCAATTACAACGAACTCTAGAGAAAATCTTAAAAACCATAACAGGGGAAAATATATTTGCATTCAAATCTTATGCAGTTTTAAATCCTCACCAAACCCCATACAATGCCACTTCATCTCATTTACATCAGCAATGTTGGCTATGGTATGAGAGACATTTTAAATAAGAGAAAGGTGCAACGACCACCAGAAATTTGGGTCTTCAGGATACGATGTGGAATTCTACACTTTTGTGCTTATCTACAATTGTATAAAGATCTAAAACAGACTCCAATATGTAAGATACATGCATGAAGAGATGCAATTTTTTCATCTAAGACGTAGTGCTGCAATACCTCATAAAGCTGAACTCTATTGGAATCTTTAAATGTATCCAGAAATGGTTTACTCCAAGAATCTACCATCGCCTGCCAAAAGTAGTCAAAACCTCAGCAATATAATGAGAAAAGGGATACTGCAATAATTGATGTTATACATCACGCTTCAAATCAACCTGCATTATCTTAAGATAAGCATGGGAAGAGCTAGTTTCTAACAACTCTTACCCCACAAATGCTGCATCAGAAACTTCTATTTCTCAGAACTCTAAATGTACAGCAACTAAGTGAAATTTATTCATATGTTCCTATAATAATGACATGAACGAGTAACATAGTCCATTTCTTTTGGTGCAACATTCAAAGAAATCCTGCCAATGACACATTTTGGTAAAATTGTGACATTTTCAGCCTATTTATAGGTGCTTATTTCATTATGTATTCCACTCAATGAGGTATGAACCTGAAAATTACTGTAATAGAACCAGTGTTGATATGACTAACCAAATCAACTTTAAGTCATGTTCACATTTAACTCAGACAAACAGCCTACAAATGTAAGGCAGCCAATGACAATGCCTCATCATTGATAAAACACTGATTAATGTTCTAAGCTCTAAGGAATGTTAAAGCGCTTTGGCCATTCTAGTTGTCCAAGATAATGCGTCAGTTAAGAGTTAAGAGACAATATTAACCGATAGAGATCATTTCATAGATAAGGAAGTTCAAAAGGTGAAGAAAACTAGTAAGCCGGATGACAGGCAAATGGATAACATAAAAACTGCTTTTTTACTTCAGGCAAAACCAGCAATCAATTAAAGTTACTCTAACCTGTGAGCTTGCACGAAATGAAAGACACAACAATGATGCCTTTGGTGCTTCAGCTTTGTTTGCCTCAACGCCATTTCCAGCGGATGTGATGGGAAGCTTAAGGCTTGAACCATCTGAGTTACTCACCTCCAACGCAGGAAACTTCACAGCCGCCATTGCTGGAATTATTATCTTATTTGCAGTTGCAATCTATATTCCGCGATTTCCATTAGCAAAAAAAAAAAAAAAAAAAAAAAAAGAGAAAGCAACATTAAGACAGTGAATTTTTTTATACCTTACCACCATGTTGCTTCAACTCGTTTATATCAGCAAAGTAACCCCGGTTCATCTCATCTTTACTGCCCTAAATCACATTATATACATAAAGTAAATTTCAGAGTCCATTTACCATAAGTTAAACAGCACCCCCATTATCCCATTAGCCATACACTTTCCTTCTTAGTCTGTCGCAAAAGGAATGTCATATTTTCATATTTAGAAATAATTTAACATTGAACTTCTCATTTTACCCTTAATTTGATGATTTAAAGCTGCATAAGTCATGTTCAAAATCACAAGTTTCAAAAGTCTTTCTTTTTAAAACTCTCTGTCCAATCAAACACTGTTACATAAATTGGGAAGGAAGAAGTACAATACATTGAAATCGAGAAACTTACAGCCGAGCACGCTCTTTCTCAATTGCCTCCTTGTTTCCCAGCTGTAAACAAATGATTCTTCAATACCAACTTAATACAGGAAAAAAATTATATTGTAAACATTAACTAATTTACATACTCTCTATATTAGCAGAGTAGTTGAAAAATAAAAATTATAAAATGGACGACTAATAAAGAAAATACATTTCTATTTTTATTGAACTAACCTGGTAAATATCGAGGAAGCGATTGGAGGTCAATCGGCAAGGATTGCTTAAATGGATTGGAGAAACTAATTTCTCTTCTCTGGAAAAAAAGCTTTTTGAATGGAGAATTACAGCTGAGCTAAATCTCTTAAACCTCAACATTTTCAACGGTTTTCTTCTGTGTTTTTCAATAGGTTAGTGGGATCGGAGAAGGAGAGACTAAGGAAGTAGACTGGGGAACGGGTCATTTTGCAGGCTTTTACCTATACGGTCCAGGCCCAAGTTATTTAGAGAGTAACAAGTCCAAACCGTTAAAATATCATGGTATAGCCAGTTTTCACACTGGTCAATGAAAAATAGCCAGCGTTTATCAAGTCAATGAAAAATAGCCACTATTTTGCTGCAGCAGGGACCGATCCAGTATAATATACGGGAGTTCTTGTGCATTTGTGTACGAACTCCAGCATATTATGCTGGACCGGTATACTTTGCTAACTCCTGTAAAATTTGCGGGAGACTGGAGCACCAGTGCTCCAAACTCCAGTATATTATACTGGACAATTATACTTGCTGGAACTCCCGTAAAATTTACGGGAGTTCCAGCATAATTATGCTTGAACTCCCGTAAAATTTGCGGGAGTTCCAGCATAGTTATCCTGGAACTCCCGTAAAATTTGCGGGCGTATTTTTCTACTTATGCTGGAACTCCCNTATATATGATATATATATATATATATATATATATATATATATATATATATATATATATTATATATATACATATATATATATATATATATTGTGTAATGACAGTCTCCTCGTTTGATTCTTGTCTTTATTGAAAAAAATTACTTAGGTACTTTTATAAAATTTGCTTAAACAGTAAAAATAATTGAGCACATATATACTCTAAAATTCTTTTTTATTTAGGATTTGAAGAACTTTATCAATGAGCTGGGACTAATAGCAATATCTGCTTTGAGACCTCAGTATACATGGTAAAATAAAGGGGATCCTAGTGATTTTACATTTGAGATTTATTATAAAATCACCAAGTTCTCATTGTTAAAATTTTCATGGCATCAAGCATCCAATAAATGTTAAGGCACTTTTAATTTTTTATACAAAATATAAAAAAATATATTTCATGTCACGCCTTCTTTTTACACACTCCGAGGGTATATATAAGGGAGTTTTTCCACTTTAAGTGACATTATTCGAAATGAGATTTTTTATTCATTTTTATTCAGAGTCGCCACTTGGAATATTTTAATTGGTGTCCCAAGTCACCGGTTTATTTTAAATCCCAAATCGAGGAAATTTCGACTTTCCTTTTGAAGTTTGCAAACCAGAAATTCTGAATAAGGAATTCTGTTAATCCGGGAGAAGGTGTTAGGCATTCCCGGATTCCGTGGTTCTAGCACGGTCGCTTAAACTATTACAATTGGCCTATTATCTGATTTTAATACATGTTTTAGCCTGTGGTATATTTTAACTTATTAACCACTTTTAATTAATTTAGGAAGATTCAACGTTATTTAAAACGCGCCTTGAACCACGTCACATGAAATGCACCCGCGGTCCACGACACATTTTATTTAACGTTGTTGAGAATTGGAGTTGGGTCACTTGAAATGCACACCCGAATTTAGATAAATAACGAAAATTAATTTAAAATAGCGCGCCTAAAGCAACTATGAATTTTTAAGGTATTTTCTACACTAATTAGTATTAATGTGAGAGCCAAGGTTATGGATTTTATTTGAGGATCAAGTGATAGAGTTGACCACTAACATTATTTACATGGTTGATTCTACTGCCAGCATACTTATAACTTACTAACATTTGTTAATTTAGTTGCTAATCTTTGATAGGCGAGTAACTGCACCAGCTTATGATTTATTAAAGAAATGGGTTCAGTAAAGTAAATTCATTTGGCCCACATGCAATTAAAACAGAACTAACCCCCAAAGCCCATTCTTCCATCCTTAAACTGATAAAATATCATGGTATAGCCAGTTTTCACACTGGTCAATAAAAAATAGCCAGCATTTATCAAGTCAATGAAAAATAGCCACTATTTTGCTGCAATAGGGACCGGTCCAGTATAATATACGGGAGTTCTGGTGCATTTGTGTACGAACTCCAGCATATTATGCTGGACCGGTATACTTTGCTAACTCCTGTAAAAAATTGCGGGAGACTGGAGCACCAGTGCTCCAAACTCCAGTATATTATACTGGACAATTATACTTGCTGGAACTCCCGTAAAATTTGCGGGCGTAATTTTCCGGATTTTGAACAGTGTTTTCGCTCAGATTTAAAGTGGCTAAATTTCGATGACTTTTGAAACTTGGCTATTTTTCAACGACCAGTGGTAAATCTGGCTATTTTTGAATTTCTCCCGTCCAAACCCCTAGAACTAGTAGCCCAAATAGGAGTGTGAAATGCACAAATAGCCACTTTTACATTGCTAATGAGAAATTAGCCACCACCTCAAAACTAATCAACATTTAGCCATTTTTAGCATAAAATAAAATTTGGACTAAAGTACTCCTATCTAAAATACAAAAAAAATTTCACAATAGCTTAATGGAATCTCAACTTCAGTCTCACGAGTCTAGAGTTGATTTTGAGGTGGTTCAACTTCAATTTTTTTTTTAAATATGGCTTGGCAATCCCCAACTTCAGTCCCATACTTTCACTAATTAGTTTACATCTTTTTCTTAAATATAATATTGCTATGTTAGGGTCTCAAATTCAGTCTCACGAGTCTAAAGTTGATTTTGAGGTGGTTAAACTTTAATAAATTTTAAAAATATGGCTTGGCAATCCCCAACTTCACTCCCATGCTTTTACTAATTAGCTTGCATCTGTTTCTTAAATATAGTATTTATTTTGAATGCTTGATTATAAATATATGTGCAAAACGTTAACCTTCTAAAAAATCCAGTATCTCAGCTACAGTTATAGGATTCCCGCCAATTCTGTCTTCCTGATTCAACACTAAATTAAAATCGCCGAGAACTAACCAAGGGATATTACATCCTCTACTCTGATTCTCCAAATAACTCTACAATTCCCTCCTCTCTGCCCTTTGGTTAAAAGCATATACAAATGTCAGCAAAAATGTCACCTGCAGAGGAGTGTATCTCACTTTGCAAGTGATTACTTGTGCTGAGCTGGTAATAGGAGTTACATGGTAATAATCTTGCTTCCAAGTAATCCAAATTCTACCATTGTAATAGTGTTCTAAGTTTGTAACATACTGCCAGCCTCCAAATAATTTGTTTGCTAGACCCTCAATCTTATTTACTTTGACTTTTGTTTTTAGTAAACCAACCAGACCTATTTCTTGTTCATTGTAGAGGAGTCTGACCTCCTTCTGCTTATTAGGGCCATTGAGGCCCCTGATATTCCAACTTAAGAGGCTAACCATTCCCTGGGAGAGGAATAAGCTGGCCTCCCTCATTTCCAACTGAGCTTGATTGAGTCTGATCGTTGTTTCTTTCCTTGTCAAGAACATGGAAAGAATTTTGATTGATCACTTGCTGATTATGTTTGAACTGCTGCTTTCTGACATTCACTAGAGTAACCCACCCTTTAGTCCGATCAACTGGTTTTCCACTCTGCACATTGTGGTTCCTTACTAATCTGGGAGATGATTCAGCAGGTTCCATTCCTCCCTTAGTCATAGCTGCTGTTTTACCATGATGGAACTTCTCCTGATTCCCTGCTTCCTCAGAGTCCACCTTTTGCTTCTCCTTCTGTTCTTCTAGTTTCTCCTTTCTCACCTGCTCCCCTTGCTTTGGTGATCCAGGTTTTGTAACCTTCTTCTTCCTGCATTCCTCTTCAGAGTGTCCATACCTACGACATAAATTGCATAGTGTAGGTTTCCAATCATATTGGACCTTTCGCCACAATAGTACACTACAAAAAACGGAAGAATTGCATCGTTTTTATTACGGGCTTATTGGAAACCGCCACAATATTCACTCTACTAGCCCAGTTCTTTAGTCACCAGATTGTGCACTCGTAAAGCGACGTTTCGAACCGCTGCTATCTCAATTTTTAATTTTTAACATACTTTTTAGGTTTAGTTGGAAAAGGCATCTTCTCACAAATCAGAATTCCCTCCCTTACTCTCCTTCTAATAAACCCTAATCGTTGTAGTTCCTCTCTACCTCTCCGTGCGGTGCTTTGACAGACCATCATAGCCGGTGATTCTCTCTCTTTTCTCATCTCTTATTCTCTCCTTTCTTACTCCTCTTCTCGTCGGTGATTCGAATCACGGAAAGCAACAGCGAAGCAGTTGGTCTACAATCAAGCTATGATGGAGTTCGCGAACCTCTGTCGCAGCCTCAATGATCTCAACTCTCAACTTCAAACAAAGTTTATCCAGGTCATTTCTTTTTTTATCTTCTTTCCGCTATATATTGATGTGGATCTAGGGTTTCATTCTTAGTTTGCTTTGCTCTGTCAATATATCTGTTATATTTGTGCTTAGCTTCCCTTTAAAAAATATTTTATGTATTTTAAGGCACGAATTAATTTGAATTGTGGTCCAAACTTGGTTGATTAATGTGTGGAGTACTTATGGTCGTTTTCTGATCTTATTCTTTAGAAAATTTGAATTTGAAAAATTAACGCATCTGTGGGCTCAAGTGGATGATGGTATTTGGTGCGGACACTATCATGGAGGTAGAATATTGATTCCTACATTTTTCAGCCCATGATTGTAATATGACTTTTAAGATCTTGTGGCTTCAGATGTTGATATTTGTTAATTTCCGCTAAATGTTGGTTGCTTTTAGTATGATTTCTATTAACGAGCTCCTACTATTGTGATTGTACGACGTCCTATTTTAAGGAAATAGGCATTGCTTTAACTTGTAGCAGCAAGGAGATTCCAATATCATTTTTCACAAATACGTTTACCCGTCATTTATAGTCCAATGGAATATTCTATTTGATATGTGTCATGTTACTATATTTGATTTATTTGTGTATACAACAATTAAGCATGTTACAGGGGAACAAGTTGCAAAATTGGCGATTTGCATCTTTGCATACTGGATTGAAAATATCTAACTGAAGTGCGAATTCATTAGTTATCAGCTCACTTCGTCAAGCTTGAGTTCTAAATTTAACTGTCAGTATATCGTGTTATGACTAAAGTCGAATAACAACCTATTTTGGATGTGGCAAAATGGAAGTAACATCATTTTGGTTCCTAATTTTCTCGGGAGACATTCTATTAGTCCATCATCTTCCATGTTGTTTCTTTTGCATTCATTTTATCTTGAATTTTTCTTTTTATTACCCAACAAAATTGTGTGAGATCAAAGTGGCAATGACGTTTTGGTGAGATGTATTTTCGTTACCCAATGGATCTACAGGTTATACAGGGACATACAACATTTGAACAGTTGATGAGAAGGTATTCTTCTGCTCCTTACATCTCCTACTTGACTCTACCCCATTCTTTTGGAGCATTAGGACATAGTTTAGCTGATAGAAGTACAAGCAAGTTTTTAGTAAATTGATCACATATAAATAGTCAGTATGACTACAATTTTTAAAAATGGTATCTTATTTGAGAAAGAAAGACAAAAAATGCTTATCAAAGTGTTATCCGATGTAATTAGTCTTCTAATGTCGATGCTGAAAGTCCTTGTAAAAGAAAAATTCTACTCCATAGCTGCAAAAAAGCACTTTGGATGTGCAAGGAGTCGTATATTAGCAAAACTATTAAATTAAGTGTGATATACATGTCCTTAGAGTGACTGGTGCAATTGTTATTTTTACTGATTTTTGGCGACTTTGGAGAAACTGCAAAAGGAATTTATGCTTGTCCTATTGCGAGTTTATATTATTCACTAACTTAAACTGGATCAATCATAATGCAGGAATGAAGAACTTCAACAAATTAGCTAGAGAATTCACTCAATGCCTCCAAATTATTGATGGTAACAATTTTCTTAGGATACTTGCTTTTCTCTCAAGTAGCTCAAGACATTGCTATGTCTCCTGTTGCTCTCTGTTTTTATCATGGTCATTCATTGAATTCCTTTGCTTGCTTGAAGTTTTTAAGCGTTGTTTAATACTTGTTCCATATTTACATCATCAATGTTGGTTCTTGATTTCTACTGTAAAAATAAAACTTAGGGAGGAAACTGTAGAAATGTTAAGATCCAAACTTCGACATTACTTAAAGTACTTGCTGTACTTTGCTAACTATTAATTATTTTAGTTAGTGCATATACTTACCCAAGCTATTGTCATTCTGTCAAAATTTCTATTTGTTTTGAATGATGTCTTCATTGTATCATTTCGACAAGAGAAACACCAAAGAGGGAGCATGCATTACTCTTTCCAGTAAACATATGTCATTAAGTACTCAAGTTTGTCCCTTTATTCATATAGAATCTATAAGTAGCAGCATAGGTTTTGTAGTGAATGTACAAATTTGAAATCTGTTGCTACTATAGCACGGAGAATTTCTACGGTGGGTATGTTTAATTTGATGCCTTTCTATTATTTATGATTATATGATTTGTTCAAAGTAGACCATTTGTTCAACAATTACTTCACATCCTGAACTCACTAACTTGTTGTTTGTTGTCTCATAATTTTTACCAGTCATCACATTTTGGAAATAGCTGGCCAAGAAGATCATCGTATTGGAGTAATTAACAATGCGGCTCACGCGAGTGCTCATTGATCATTGTTTCTGTAATAGATTTTGCCTTTTTGTCCGGTTATCTAGATTTTACTTCAAACTTGTACATTTTGATGATGTAATTTTGAAATATTTTTTATACTCAATAAATATTTACCTGATTAATTTCAATTTTTGTGTCAGAAATTTATCAAGTATTAGACAAGTTTTGAAGTATAAGGTGTAATAACATGAAGCTACAACGGGATTACATAAATTTATTAAGCATTAGGCAAGTATGGATGATTATGGCAGTTGTTCAATACTTTTACGGCAGTTTTTAGCTGCCGCAAATTTATTTTACAATTGCTGAAATATGTACAATTCTGGCGGTTTAGAGCTGCCGCAATTCGAAAATGCAAACTGCCATTTTATCAAGCTCAATATTGTGGCGATTTTCAGAAAGCCGCTGTATTAAGCTATTGGCGGACGTGTGTTGATACCCAATTTTTCCCTATATATTTTTTCAATATGCAAAATACCTTCAAAATAGCATATGTATGCATATATAATGTATGTCCAAGTGTTTCATTATTTTCTTCAATTTTTAAAGGTTTTAAAATCAATTTATTTCCCTATTTTGTCCATAAAAATCCAATAATTATTTTTAAAATTATTATTTTGGGTGATTCACTTGTTGAACTTTTATATTTATGCTAAAATATAGCTAAGAGAATTTTTGAATATTTTTTACAAAACTATTTAGTATATTTAAGGCTAAATTGCATAATTGCAATATTAGCCTCTTCCAGAATTTAATTACGTTTATATTTACAAAAAATTAACTCCGGTATTTTTAAATAGTTAATTATATGTCATAAATTATTTTAGTACCTTTTTAATTTAGTTCCAGAAATCAATTTACTATTTTCTAATTTTAAATAGGGGAAAATTGGCTATTTAAATAAAAGCCCAATTTCGTTTCATTTGTAGCCTAAATTGACCCCAATTTGAACCCAATTTTCTGACCCAATTCCCATAAACCGACCCACCTAACCCCTTTAATCCCAGCCGTTGATCATTTAGATCAACGGCTCCCGTTCCCCCTTACCTTTTTAACCCTGAACGACCCCAAAACCCTATCATTTTGATACAATCTGCCGCCTTAGAATCCCCTTCCTCTCAAACTCTCTCTGCAACACCTACAAACCCTAGCCGCTGCCATCAATCTACACCCTAATCCATGGCCTTCTGTGGTCATTCGAGACCTGTACCAGCCTTCTATGGCTTCTATGTGTTTGGTTCTATGGTTTCACGACCAGACTTCGAAGGAGTTTGGTCCAGTCTTTGCTCGACTAGTGTTCATGGCCTTTCTCCGGCCAGCCATGACCTTTTCTGGCCATTTATGGCCTTTCGAGGTGGGTCCTTGACCTTTTCTGGTTAGATCGTTATCTTTCGTGATCTTTCTCGTTTCTTTTGGATTTTCTGAAACCCTAATCTCTAAGATCTTTCGATTGCTTTCAGATCTACTTTAGATCTGTACTTGCTATGAGTGTTTTAAGCGTTTTCTGGAAAGTTTTTTAACTAGGATAGGGATATGGAGTCTGTAGTTCTTTTTGCACCAGAGGCTGTCTCGAGTCTTTATAATGGACGTAATTGCTATAAATAAACTTGAAAATTCCCAAAAAATATTCCGCTTCTTCGCGAACTACGCTCGGTCTGATTCACGCGGGGTCGTGATACGTAGGCAATCTCCATAGGATTCGACCATTTCTAAATAAATCAAAAGGAAAACTAAAAAGGAATGATGACA